CCCATACTTTAAAATAATTTATATTTGGATGTTGATTTTTCCAAATATCATATGGAGATGAATCATGTTTCTTGAAAGGAATTTAATTTAAAAATATGACATGCAGAAAATAAGGCTTCTGTCCACAAATTTCTAGTGATACCAGATTTATAAAGCATAGATTTAATCATTTCAATGAGAGTTCTATTTTTTCTTTCTGCTACACCATTTTATTGTGGTATATAAGACATAGTCAATTGTTTCTCAATGTCTTTTTTCTTACAAAAATCAATAAAATCTGATTTTAAATATTCTCCGCCTCTATCAGATCTTGATTTATTCTTCAAACTCAATTTATTTTCAACTTTTGCTTTATATGTTTTAAAAGTCTCAAATGCCTCATCTTTTGTTTTTAATGGAAAGACATATGTATACCTTGAGTAATCGTCAATGAAAGTGATAAAATATATCTTTCTATGACGTGAGAAACAATCTATCTCACAAACATCAGTGTGGATTAACTTCAAAAGTGTGGATATCCATTCAACAAACTTAAAAGATTTCTTTGTTATTTTACATTTACTACAAGTAATACACTTAGCAACATGATCTTTTCCACAGTCTTTAATTAATCTATTTTTCATCATAAGTTGAATGAATTTAAAATTCACATGACCAAGACGTTCATGTCATAAATCTAAAGACTCCACAACATAAGCAGAAATATTTTCATTTTCAATATTGAGTTTAAACATGCGATTTGTAGCATAACCTTTTCCAACAAATATGCCTTGTTTAGATAAATAAATTTATCTGCCTCAAAAATAATTTTGAAGTCATGCTTTGAAAGAAGCGTACCTGAGACCAAGTTCTTTCGAATATCAGGAACATGCAATATTTCTATCTATGTGATCATTTTTTCGGAATTGAATTTCAGTTCAATAGTTCCTTTTTCCACAACCTTAGTCGAGGATGAGTTTTTCCACATGCAAAGCTTTATCGCCCCCCCCCCCCCCTCCCCCTCCATTAATTCATAGGTCGTGAAAAAATTTCGATTACCTGATATATGACGAGTTGCACCAGTGTCTATCCACCATTCTACTTGATCTCCCGCTACAAATGCTTCTGTGACCATTGCCACTAGTTCATGTTTTGTATTGTTATTTGCCTCTTATTTCTTCTTTTCAGCTTTAAGAATTTTACAATCACGTGCATAGTGACCAATTTTATAACAATGATAACATTCTTTTGACTTAGAATTAGAATTAGTACGCTTAAAATTTTTACTCTTCTTTGACTTTAAAATTTATTATTGGCAGGTTTCTTCTTTATTTTTTCTTCAACAACATGAACTTTCATGATGGGCTCCTTCAAGAGGTTATTGTCACGGTATCGTGTCTCTTGTTCAATTTGCAAATGGTACAATAATTGTTCGAGAGTCAAATCTTCCTTCTTGTGCAAGAGTTTGCTTCTGTACTCCTTCAAAGATGGAGGAAGTTTTGAGACAATAGCACCAGCATGAAAGTTTTCATCAAGAACAAATCCAGATATAACAATTTTATTAACTATAAGTTGAAATTCATGTACTTGTTCAGTGATTGACTTGTCATCAACCATTTTGAACTCCGTATAATTTGAAATAAGAAATTTCATTTAACTCACTTCTTCTGCTAAATGGATAGCTTTAAGAGTATCCCAAATCTCCTTAGCAAATTTGCACTTGATATAATATTAATCATAATATTTATTGGATATTCCTCCAAGATTATAATTCTTGCATAGCTAATCATCATCTTGCCATTTGACAATTTGTTGTTTAATTAAAATAGCCTCGTCCGTTGCTACATCAGAACTAAAAGCCTCAGGACAAGGCTTTTCAAGAACATATGCCAACTTTAATCGTCTTAAAAAGAATTCTATCTTTCTACTCCATCTAGAAAAGTCTTTGCAATTAAATATTTCAAAATTAGAATTAGGCAAATTTGGAACATTGTTTGTAATTGATGTGTATGCCATAGAGACAACTATATTCAAATTGTTAGAACAAATGAACAAGAATGAAAAAAATACAAGAAATTCAAAAATAAAACTTGCTTGGCTTAGAGGCACGTTAATACGTTTTTGAAGATAGTTGGAGTCTCTCCCACGAGCAATCGGAAGAATAAATAACAACTCTATCTTCGGGATTCAGCTAAGACACAAAACAAGTAGCGTTCAAGAATGTTGCTATTCTATTCTTGAATTGGTGATTTCACCCTTTTGATTAATGTCTCACACGTGTTTTTTCAAGGGTAAGTAGTTTTGTTTGAATGCATGTCTTTTTTAACCAAAAGAAACACAGTTTATAGGATAAAAGTTTTGTAAGAAAAAGACTTTGATTAAATTGTATTTATTATAGGTTCATGAATTAAAAGAAAAACTTATTTTTCAAAAAATTCACAATGTAGAATTTTTAAAAAAAATCTTGCAAAAAGTTTATTACGTATAATTAAAACAAATGAATATTACAACTGACATTCATATATTTTGTTATTTCAAAACTTTTTCAACGGATGAATTATTTCAAAATTAATTGAAACACTAACTCTTACAAGTCAAACTATGGTTTACAGGAACTAGTGGTCTATCACATGTGGCAACAGTGACAAGTAATCACTTAGAATCTGCAACCGAGTCGAGCAGCCAAGCAGCAATGACTATAGCTAAATACGAACTTATTCTTTTAATATAATTTTATACATCTTTTATCTTTGCGTGAGAGATCTTTAAATATCACGTAAGCTAAAAAATACACAAAATTATAAAAAAAAGAATAAATTAAGGGGCAACAGGACTTTATTTAATTAAAATATGTATCAGAGATTAATCATAATCTAGGAATACTTATACATTTTTTTTGTTATTTTAGTAAATTGATTTTAATAATTAGTTACTTAAATAAAAAATTGTGTGAATCCATTTCTACTTACTATGAACGTTATAGTTAATTAGTTGATGAAGAATATTTAGAGCTAGAATTCAGATCACATAGCGCCTGTGTGAGAGCTTGAGGCCACTGAAACTTCTTTGCACTTTCCCCTTTTGTTTTGTTTTTTTACCTTCCTTTTGTTTTGTTCATTTTTTTATTTCTTCTTGTTGTTTCTTTTAGACTTCAATTTAGCATGCTTTTATCTTGGCCCAACTTTGGGCCTCATTTTTTTTTTTTTTTTATAGCAAACACAAAAGTCATATTTATATGTTATAGTTATAGTTTGTTTAATTGTATTTTATCGCAAATTTTATAACTTGTTTTGGTATACATATACAAAAGAAACAATTTTATAATTAATGTTTGTATAAAGTGAGAAAGAGAGAAAGACAAAAGAAAACCGAATAGAGAAAGATCGTACTTGTATAATCATAAGTGTACACGATAAAAATAAATGTATTTGTATTTGTATATACAATTTTATCTCGCTTTATACAAACGCAAAAACAAGTATATATTTGTGTTTGTATAAAGTGAGAGAGACAACTGAGAGTGGTGAGCGAGATCTGGGAGGAGGGCGAGAGGGGAACGAAAATATATATAATATATAATTTCTCTCGCTTTATACAAACACAAACACATTTTTATACATTTGTGTTTGTATAAAAGTGAGAGGTGGGCAAGACTGCCCAAGTGTCGAGTGAGATTCCACCACGGAGAGAGGCGTAAATAACAACAATTTTCTATGGGGTACAATTAAATCATATTATATTTATAACATTTAATTTGAATTAATAGTTTGTTATTATATACAATTTTTCCTTAAATTTATCCACATTCATAGTATTAAGCGTCAATTACATAATTCTTTTTTTGAATAATAATTTTTTTTACAATTTATGAATTTCGAATACATCACTTGAACATACATTTAGATACACAGAGAAGACATGTATCCGAGAGTGAAATGATGTATTAGAAGGGAATATGACATCCAAATACATAGATGAGAGATATATCAAAGATGGGAGAAATATATTCGAGAGGGGAGAAGTGTATCAAAGAGGCGAGAAATGTATCTAAGAGGAGAATGTAGATGTATCAGCGAGAGAAGGTCATGTATTCGAGAGGATTTTCTTAAAAATAATAGAAATTTTTAGAGATTATAGCAAAACAAAATATGTATTTAATTATTAATTTTTCCTTTATCTAGTTGAATAAAATGGCCAACCAACCTTTAGTTTTTAAAAATAAAATAAAATAAGACAAAACTTACTTGAAATTTTTAAATAAAATTTTAATGCCAATTTTAAAAAGCTGTCGAAATCCACATTTTTATTTTGTACAAATCTAATTCTAGTTGTGTTGTGGGTTCACTCTGATTTCTTTCATTTTATCTAATTAAAAGGTCAATCAAGATTGCTTAACAACTCAATCACAATCACACCAACTAAAAATATGACATTTCTATGATAAAAAAAAATGTAGTATAAAAAACTTATATATTCTCGGTTTATCTTTACTTGTCAATTTAAAATGTTAAATAATATTTGTTCACTTTATAAAATTACTAATTAATTTATCTATTAAGTCTGTTTTTGTAAAACTATATGATTATTTGCAATTGCTATAATCTCTGTCATTTCTGTCTTTTGAGTGAACACTATATAATGAACATTTTATAAAATTACTAAATAACTTACCTATTATGTCTATTTTTTTACAACCACATGATTACCCGCAATTGCTATAATTTCTGTTATCTTTGTCTTTTGAGTGAACACTATATAATAAGCATTTTATGTGAATAAACCCACATTATATCATGTCTATTTTATTTTAATCATTAAATATTTTTTTTAAATATCTAATTTACTTATATTTAGTAAAGATAATTTGATTAAATTATTTATATTATTTGTTGCTTCTTAATTTTTATATCAAATCAACGGTGAACGTGATACTTATTAAAGTCCAATTAAGTAGCTTAACAACTAAAATACCATAGACAGATGTCACACACACCAGCAATATATAAGGTAGAATCAGAGAAAAAAGATTGTGCTAAAATTTAATAATACTTTATCTATCAATGGAGTATCCTTTTGGCCACCACGGTCACCACCACCACCACCACCGTCGCGACGACGACGACGACCGTCGAGAAGAATTTCCACCTCCCGGCCACCGACCACCCTACGATGAACCACCTCCTCCTCAAGTTGGCCAGGTCTTTCATACTTCTCATGTAGGTGGACCACCACCAATGGAACCTAATTATGACCGGCCTCACTATCCTCCGCCGCCGATGGATGATAATTATGGTCGGACTGAGTATACGCCACCGATGGATGATATTTATGGTCGGACTAACTATCCGCCACCGCCAATGGAGGAGAACTATGGTGGATCTTACAATCGTCCACCGCCGAGATCCGATTACTATGACGCCCCACCACCACCACCTACTTCCGGGTATCCCTCCGTTGAACACGTGTCTCATGAGAGTGAGAGTGGTGATCGGCATCATGATCGTCATCGTTTTCAACCTCATGTGCCTACAGCCTTCCATCATCAAACTTCAGATCCAGAGCTTATGGATAAACCTTCTTTTAGGGTTTATACTAAGGCTGATACTAATTACTCTCTCACCATCCGTGACGGAAAAGTTGTTCTTGCTTCTAATGATCCATCAGATCCATTTCAAGTAGGTTTTTTTTTCTTTTTTTTTTTAAATTTTGTTGTTAACTGTGAATTTGTTGTAATGGATGGAATTTTCTACAGCACTGGTATAAAGATGAGAAGTTCAGTACTAAAGTGAAGGATGAAGAGGGATTTCCAAGCTTTGCTTTGGTTAATAAAGCTTCAGGACTGGCAGTGAAGCACTCTATTGGCGCCTCTCACCCTGTATGTTCAATTCTTGGTTAACCATAAGCTCTGAAAAATATTATTTGGTTTGATTATTTGTGCTGCATAGTTTGATGATATCCCTCAATGATGCCTATATAATGTTAAACTTCACAAAGCAATGAACTTTGATAGCCAACCCATTGCTTTGTCATAAACAGGATATTAGAGATTTCTGCCTAATGCAAATGCTATGACTTATAATGTTTTGGGGTGTTTCAAGTAGTACCATGGTAGAGATGGAGGGCTTAATGGTGGAGTTGTAGTGGAAATGTGGTACCGTAAGTTTGTGAGACGGAAAAATAGTCAGTGTCCAGTCAATTATTTGTGTCCTGTATTGTGTAACATATCAAACTGTGCCTAATACTTCCATTTTTAGCTCCTAGGTCTATCCCTCGAGTGTTTAGTGGTATCCACTTTTGTATGAGATTTCCACTGTATCTGTGTATGCTTCAATATTCTCTATTTTTCTTTTGTGATTGTTCGACAGCTTTTACTGCCGGAGATTTCTACCTAATGCAAATACTCTGACTTGCAAATGATGCATGCTGGGAATTTTTCACATTTGGCTAAAAAAAAAGGAAAATAAATCTTTTGCAATTTAATGTTGAGTATGAAGGGTCTTTTTAATCATTTGAGAGCTCAGTGTGAGCTTTTTAGAAGAAAAAACATTCAAGTATGGATTGTTTGGACATTATGGAGGGAGAGAAACCTTAGACATTTTGAGGGGAAGTGTAATTGAATATATAAACGGAAGGGTTCGTGTTTGGTGGTGAGACTCGAATTCAGGATCTTGCTTTCTCCGATAGACTGATACCCTGTTGAATTGTGTAATCATTTGTTTGAGCTATTAGAGAGAGCACACTGTCATTTACTTAATTATGCTGAGATCTAGAACTTGCACTTGTAGTTGACAGATAAAGATCATAAGCTATAAATTAAACAACTATCGGTATGCCTATGTTATTAATTAATATTTACTCTTTAAAGAGGAAAGATAAGAAGATACTGTTGATTATGTGTGCATTACTTTTATCTGAAGGAAGAGGTGGAGAAAAGGAAATGGCTTTATTGCCTATATAGTTTTTGATATCTTTATAATATGTGCTCCAACACAAAGGAGACTGTTCTTGTAAGAATCCAATTCCCTCTTTTAGCAAGAGATCTAACTTATGCTTCATTTTGTTGGGGTGTGAATAACTCATTGGACCCAGATTACTGCCCCCCTTTAGATAGGGAAGGCCAGCCTTATAAAAAAAGATGGGTGATGGTAGATGTGCAGCTGATTCTGGGCTTAATTTTAGCAACTTGGGGTTAAAGTTGAGATATTTATCAGATGTGGTTGTTGTATAATTGGTAGTAGCTGGAACATGGTTTTAAGAGCGGTGTAGAAGAAAAAAACAAATGCATTTTTAATTAGTTGATATTTAAATGATTTAGACCTCCATTAAGTCGAATAAAACAGGGCCTTAGTTGGTCCTGGATATCATACTGAACTTAAATGTATCTTTGTGCCATCTAGTTCTAGACTGATGATCAAGACAACTTGCAAATTGCCAAACAAAGCCGTGATTCTCTGCACAACCAATGGTAGCTTATTGGTTAAGAAGATTTTTAGCACTTGTTTGTACACCCTGGTCACTTGAATTTGGCTTTAAGGAGGCACCATTATTTTGTTCATTCTTTTTTTTTCTTGCAGAAGCGATGAGTATCATCCTTTATGTTAGGATTAGGAAGATTAATGCATAATATAATTTCTTGTGCCTGATACGAATTGACCTGGAAGATGCAAAGGAATCAAACATTCAAACCCCAAAAGAAGGAGCAATAGCACCTTCTTGATAGAACAGGAAAATGATTATTTCTCTTTTTTTTTTAAAGCCTCCTTTATACTAGACTGAGATTTTATCCATTTGTAGATACGAACCGACCCGGAAGATGCTGTAATCTCTATTGTTTATAGTATTACAGAACTAACCACTGCACAATGAGACTATGTCTACGATGCAATGTAGGATCTCTTTCAAGTCCTCTACTTGACTCTCCACTTTAGCCTATTGTGAGCCTTCATATCCTCTTGCCAAGATCTTCTAAGGTTCATACGCTTCCATGTGTTAAGTGGCCATCTCAGAATGTATCATCCCCTGAAGAAAATTTGTCCCTGAACTTGTACCTTGAAACACGAAGAGTGTATGTATGAATAACCTGTCTTTTAAAATCAAGATTTGAAATGGTATAAATAAAACAAGATAGTGTCCATATACTTTCTTAACCCAACTTGCATACACTTTCTTATGCAAATTGGTTTTACAGGAGTATTTATGTCTTTTTTTTTCTATATAAAAAAAGAAGATGTGAGACTCCTAAAATAAGCACAAAATGCAACTTGCCTGGGCTAATGGGTTAAGTTCTGTAGGAACGAGAAAAGGGAAAATTGTAACCATGTTAAGCTTGAGTTTTTTGCAATTGCAGAAAACCTTCATAGTTGATGGAAATTGGTGAAACATGGGCATTGGTGGCTCGAGTTTTTTGCAAGGAGTATTGGCATCTTAAACCTTGTTCTTTGTGATAGGAATTGCTATTGCCTACAAATGGCATACACATGCACATGCTATATGCAACTTCAAGTCTTGAACTAAATATTTGCCTTCCTTGCCTCCATGCACCTTTGTTTGCTGCAAATGCATGAAAATAGATTTTACTATGCCCCAAGGGTAATGAACTCTGTTGTTCAGGGGTCCTGTCTTACTAATATTACATGGCTTCTCATGGGGAAGGAAGCATAGAAAGTTACATTTCCATTGAACTTCTTTTACAGGTGCAGCTCACCCCATACAATCCCGACGTTCTTGATGCATCAATCTTATGGACAGAGAGCAGGGATGTGGGTGATGGTTATCGAGCAGTTAGGATGGTCAATAACATTAACCTCAATCTAGATGCATGGAATGCTGATAAAGAGCATGGAGGTGTCCGCGATGGGACCACTGTTTGTCTTTGGGAATGGTGGAAAGGAGACAACAGGAACCAACACTGGAAGATCGTTCGCTTCTGTAAGTTTTGCGACTTTGCAGTGCAAAAATAATTGTTTTGCTTGGTACCCCTAAAACCTACACTCCCCCCCCCCCCACCCCTCCATGTTGTTGGATATGAAATCATTTTTTCACGAAAATTACCTGTATTTAGTAGTGTTAGGTTGCTTAAAATAGCTGAGAACACGCCCCGTTAAGCGTTTAGACATTTAGCATAAAATTTCTGCACTCCTATTGTTTTTGACACTTTTTCCATCAAGATAGATGTCCCTCATAGAATTTGTTACTCAGTTACCTAGTGGTTAAGTGCCGATCCAATTTTTGGTTGATGATCTATGTGTTACCAAAGTATATTTTAGGCTTAATACATGGCCACCTCTTAACTTGCCAACAAATTTCATTTAGACACTCAAATTAAGGCTTGTTCCGATTGAGTACTCAAACACGTGATAAAGCGTTTCTATTAGACACTTTCAGTTCAAATTATGGCAAAAACTTTCCCAAACATTCCTTATGTATCAAGTAGATAAGTTAAACACTTAAAATGTCACCTTCTTTGATAATATGCATTTGTCTCAATAAGCCCTCAAACTTCACCCCTACGGCAATTGAGGCTGTTGTGTATCCTTAAATCTATCTTCTATCAATGCTTGAAACAATTTGTCTTCTCCTCCATATTACTGTATCTCTAGAGTTGACAAACGCTTCAAAACAAGCACAATTTTATTTTCCTACAAAATTGATCCTAAAGTGCTAATAGGAACACTTTATTACAGGTTTTCAATTGGAACAAGTTTTAGTTTGAGTATCTAAATGTAATTTGCTGACAACTTCAAGGGTTGTTGATGTATTTCCAAGCATCTGTAATAATTAGTTTTTCATCTAAACTAATTTCTTTGCAGGATATGTTGGCTTGTGAATCATGGCTGGAATTGGGTTGATGCGTGGTATTTTTCTTTCATCATGTGGCTTGTTACCTATGTTGTACTGTATTGTATGTCCCTCCAAAACAGTAAGAAGTAACATTAAAATAAGAGGGGAAATGCTATGTATATTGTGGAGATGTTGGCTACAGCATGTCTGTTCAACTTATATTTATAAAAGCTTGTTTGATGAGTTGTGTTGTTGAATGTATTTTGAATGTCAAAATATATTACTTTCATACTCTAGTTAAAACATACAACTTACATATAATTTGCATACAAATTATGTTGTTTGAATGTATTTTGTATGTCACTATATGTTCAGTGATGCAATTGAAATACTAGTATACATTCAAAACATAAATACATAGTACTCCCTCTGTCTAAATTTATGCGATTTTTTTTTTTTTTAGTCAGTCTTAAAAAGAATGACATATTTCTATATTAAGTAACAATTTAACTATAAAATATCTATTTTATCCCTAATGAAATGATGTACAGTCACACAAATTTCTATTATTCATTTTGGATCACAAATTTTAATAGTCTTCCTTTCTTGGCTCCGTGCCGAGTCAAAATACTTCACATAAAATGTGAAATCATTGTTCATCGTTTTTGAGTTTTAATTTCAAATGGTCAATCAAAATCAATTTAGCTCGAAAGATTAGTCAATCCCTCAAATTTGACCAACAAATTTTGAGTATCCAAATTTTAATACAATTTAGCTCTTCCCTCAAATTTGACCAACAAATTTTGAGTATTCAAATTTTAATACAATTTAACTCGAAAGATAAGTCAAATTGTCTTATCAATAAATAAAAAAGTATCATATAAATTGAAGTAGGGTGTGATATACGCTTAATAACACGAAAAAGTAGTACGGGATTGGTTGTACTCACCAACCTAAATATCCAATTTGCAAAAGGATTTAAGCTATATATATTAACAGTGCTCTTTTTAATACCACTATTCTTTATCGTGTATAATTAAATTTATTAAGAAACATAGATATAGAACATAAAACTTACGATAAAGAAGGCGTACACAAGTAGTTGATATTTGTTTAAGAGTTATTCTTGACTTAATTCACACAAACATCGAAAAGTTAGTTAGTAAAACATAAGTAGCTACCTCAAAATAAGTCTTTGGACACCCGTATTTGTTTCTTCTCAAGTTCTATTGTGTGTTGTATAATATCTCTATGTACTTTTAATATTTTCTATTTTTTAGAATCTCACTTATAGGATTTATAGATAGATAAAACAATTTTCTCTTTATACATGGCTTCCCTCTAGAAACTACAAGCAAAATGCAAGTCACTTAGACGAAGCGAAGCCAGAATTTGAAAGTTTAAGGGTGCATAATCTGGGTTCTAAACTAATGATTTGTACATATTCAATTAACTTTTAAAAAAGGACAAACACAATGTTTGAACCGAAGCTACTGGATTGAAGAGAATCCATAAGCTATATTCTAGCTCCGCCATGAATCACAAACTTCTCCGGTGATTCGCAAGAAATACCAAAAAATTAAACAACAACAACAAAAAAAAAAATTACTTCAAAAGAAAATTAAAGGAAATAAAAAGCTATGGCCTTTATCAGTGGGAATTCAATTTTGTTAGTATTGTTCATATGGTTAGCTTCATTAGTCCCACATTTACATGCCAGAATTGCTGAGTTTGATCCATATTTGGAAAAACAAGCTTTGGAAGCCCTCAACTCTTCACTTGAAGCATATACTAATAATCCTGAGGAAATAACTAATGCATTCAACAAAGAAGTTGGAAAGTAAGTGGTTTCTTGATTATTTTTTACTTTTTATGTTGCTCAGACTCTTCAAACATACCATTGGGATATGTGTGTTGGATCTATATATCCTCCAAAATTTATTGCATTTTTAAGGATTTGATAATATTTTATGGACGGTCCGCGACAAAGAATGCAGACCTAGCAAAGAGGCATAATACATAAATATATCATTTAACTTGGCTTCAAATCACATTATGCCCTTCAACTTTGGGTCTGCACAATTAGATAATTAAACTTGTATAAAATTGAACAAAATAGACACACATATCCTATATGACATCCTACATGTCATTTTTTGTCCTACGTGGTGTCCTATGTGTATTATGCCACGTAGGACTCATCTGTCTATTTGTTCAACTTCATACAAGTTTAAGTGTCTACTTGTACATATTCAAAGTTGGAGAACATAAACGTAAAATGAAGCCAAATTAAAGGGCATATTTATGTATAATGCCCTAGCGAAAAATAGGGTTTAATGGATGAAAGATATATATAGCCGAACTCCATCCGTTCTAAAATATGTTAAATGTTTGAATCTGCATGAAATTTAAGGGAAAAAAAATGAAGATTTCATGTTATATATGTTTGGTGATAAAACTTATGACATTAAGCATGTCATAACATTTACCTATGGTTATAAAAACTTCTCATTAAGGGTCAATTGGAAAGTCTTAAGTTCAATTTTTTTCAAATTTATAAGAGTTGTGATTTTCGAAACAGACTTAAAAGAAAAATGTGTCAGAGTGAAACATAGGGAATATCATTAGTTGAGATTAAGTTTTTGTTACGTTAGCATGTTTATTTAGGTCCAATATTTGCTACAAGAATTTTTTAGACTCGTTCGAGATATATATGCCAGAAGAAATATTTTTTTGTTTCGTAATATTGGATAGCAGCAAGCTTAAATAGAGCGACATGGGCAATGACATTTCATTATATTTATAGCCGACCTAACTTATTTGTTCACTCGTTTGGGATTGAGGCTAACTTATTTGTTCACTCGTTTGGGTTTGAGGCGTAGTTGTAGCTGTTTCTTTGATTTTACTTGCATAGGTTTAGGAAAAATGACATGAATTTTACTTAATGTATTATGCAGTGCATTGCTGAAGTATAAAAGCTTAAGGAGGCATCTTAAAGAAAAAGATAAATGCATGGCAACCAATCCAATTGATAGATGCTGGAGGTGTGACAAAAATTGGGCTGAAAACAGGATGGATTTGGAAGAGTGTGCTAGGGGATTTGGCCACAAGACGACCGGTGGTAAAAATGGCAAGTACTATGTTGTCACCGATGAATCAGATGATAACGTGCAGGAACCAAAACCAGGGACCCTTCGTCATGCTGTGATTCAAGAGGAGCCATTGTGGATCATCTTTGAGAAATCAATGGTGATCAAGTTGCGACAAGAACTTATGATCACGAGTGACAAGACAATCGATGGCAGGGGAGTCGCTGTTCACATAGCTTATGGTGCTGGATTAATGATCCAATTCGTGCATAATGTCATAATCCACAACATCAGGATTCAGAATATCATATCTACTAATGGTGGCATGATAAGAGATTCTATTAACCATATTGGTCTAAGGACAGTGAGCGATGGCGATGGCATTTCCATTTTTGGTTCCAATCATATCTGGATTGATCATTGCACTTTGTCTGAATGTACAGATGGCCTCATTGATGCCATCATGGCTTCCACTGCTATCACCATTTCTAATTGCAAATTCAACTATCATAACGACGTAAAGTTACACTTTACTAGTTATTACCCTTTTAAAAAAAACATATACTAACCTATATAACAAATGATGATTCAGGTGATGCTTTTGGGGGCAACTGATGCCTTTCCTCAAGATGCAATAATGCAAGTCACAGTTGCATTCAATCGGTTCGGGGAGGGATTGATTCAGAGGATGCCAAGGTGCAGATGGGGATTCTTCCATGTTGTCAACAACGACTACACTCATTGGCAAATGTACGCGATTGGTGGCAGTGCTCATCCAACCATTATCAGTCAGGGTAATCGTTTCAAGGCTTCCGATAATCCTAATACGAAGCAGGTAAGATTCACCATTTTTTTTTTGGAAAATTCATAAATGATTATATCAGGTAGGTTCACAAGTACCCTAGTGACATTAGATAATCAGTTTTGGTAATGAAATAGTGTTTATCCTACCACACTCTTCTCGTTTAAGTCTTTTGGATGGAATTAAATCTAACAGCCAGGGGCGGAGCTATGTAGAGCCAAGAGGGTTCAATTGGATTCCTCACTCCTTTCATCGAAAGGACAAAATCGAGTTTATCATTTATATATTAGCTGTTGAATCCCCTTGCTAAAAGGTGTTTATAAATCAGTTTGATCAGCTTATATGCTTAGTCAAACACCCTTGTAGTAGCAAAAAGGGTTCAAAAGTTGCTTTACTGTGACAAGTCCAGTACTTTTTGAATCTCCTTTCATATATTCCTGGCTCTGACACTGATCTGTTGGGTTTTATTTGCTCTAAATTTTTTACCATAAATAGGTTTTCCTTGTAGAAAAATGTTTTGGATTGACTAATCCTTTTCTTGTAGGAAAAGGTTTAGGACTCTATAAATAGAGACATGTTCCTTCTAACTTAATCAGCATTCACAATGTAGTCTTAAAGGCTTTGAGAGTTTTTGGTTAGGGAGAGAAATTGTGGGTCACAAGCTTGATACGTTATCACTTGTGTGAACCTCCCATGTATTTTGAGTGAATTTGGTTGAGGTTGTTTCCCTCTGTATTTGTACTCTCATATTTATAGTGGATTGGTCATCTCCTTTGTGGATGTCAGTCGATTGACCGAACCACGTTAAATCTTTGTGTCTTTTGATATATTTCTCGTTATCATCTTACTCGTTGTCTTTCGAGGTTTGCATTGCTAGCTTCCGCGTTATACCTGCTTATTTACGGTCCTAACATGATCTACTCAAGACACCGTCCTCTCTATTAGATAACCGGTCTTAGCCAACAAAATAACATATTTTGCACTTTTTAGTGTTATAAATACTTACTATATGCACTATTGGTTTGTACTATGTGGATTGATAATATAACATGATGGAGCTAAATGCAGGTGACTAAGAGGGATTACGCAACAGAATCCGAGTGGAAGAAGTGGCAATGGGTATCAGAGGGCGATTCGTTCTTAAATGGAGCTTATTTTGTAGAGTCAGGGCCACAAGACAAGAAAAAAACTGCATTGACAAAAAATCATAAGATCAAGTTCAAACCTGGTTCACATGCAGGACGACTCACTCGCTTTGCTGGTGTGCTCAAGTGCAAACCTGGCATACCTTGTTAGCTAACGATCCTCTTATGTGCATATAATTTGATGCATCAGTAAGAAGGAGATAAGTAGATTGATGATACTTTGACTGTAGAATAATGGAAAATAGGATAAGAAAGAAATGGTTCCCATAAGTTA